CAAAGTACATGGGGGTCCCCAAGAGAAAAATGCTCTGACATGCGTGGAGGATTTGACTCATCATGGACACTATTCAAACAACAACAAAAATCAGCACCAACGTCTGGAAAATGTTTTAAGATACAGTAGTGTAACACTGCCGAAATTTCCAGGAAAAATATTGTTTTAAAAGTGTTAATTGATATCCGTCAAACAAATTGAGCTGCTTATACATGGACACAAAATCCAATCCAATCTGATTATAAATTCCCTCTATAGGTGAACTCTCTCTAATAGAAGATACTGTACAGGGAACCAGACTGTATGTGATGTAGTAATGAAGTCCACATTCATGAATATATGATGACAAATTTTAAAAAATTGACAATTTAAATGCAATTACAGTATATAAACAAGAATACCTTGTCTAAAAGCCATTTACATCAAGACTTCTTTTAGGGAATAACTTACCAAAACATAAATATTTGAGTATTTTTGGATGCAAACAAGATGAGGAAAAAACACTTTTAAAATAAAAATTGTCCTCAGCCTGGGACAGGGCCAGAAATTCCAGAGCATATTTTATTCAGGAGCTAGTATTTCTTTGTCCCAACAAAATAATCTCCATAAAGATGATACACTTCGATTAAATTCAACAACTCAGCAGAATTCTTCCTGATTAAAACACTCACTTCTCCACAAATGCTTTCAAAAATGACTGATGATGTTAACAGGAAAAGGATGTATTTATCAATTCTTTGGTGACTTTCAGCAGATTTTGATACTGGTTTTAGCAATGGTGCATTTACATGGATGGGCCGTGGATTGGCCAATGTTTTTTATAAGTTGAAGACGTTGTATTGTCTTTCTGCATTAGTTTTGTGTGATAAGGATCTGGAGGGTTTCTTGATTCTTGGGTAGTTTTGCTGTTATTGTTTCTGCCTGATTTTATCTCATTGATTGACAATCAAACATTTTGGCGCAGTTCCCCAATAACTTGACTCCACGTGTGAATTATGTCAAATAAATGCACGGGGAAGTTTTACCCCATTCACAAAAAAATTAAGCCAAGAATAGAAAATTTAGTATAAACCTAAAATTGAAAGATTTTGTGCATGCATACTAAAGGTTCAGTTGAATAAAAGTTCACGAGAAGGGCACTGCAGAATTGAGCTAAAATGCCTTCATATAGCTGGGAAAAATGTACAATACTCTTCAACAAAAATGCCTGATGCAGTAATAATACGGTGAAGTCCACCATAAGTCAGAAAAAACAGCACGTATTACTTAAGAATTGATCTTCATCTCTGATCAATCTAGTATAAAGTATTTTACTAATGCTTCATGAAATGATTCTCCCCAAAACTCGGCACGCAACCATATTTTATATTTTTACTTGGTGGGGATGTATGATATTTAGACCATACAGGAAAAGATTGCGCAAAACTTGTGCTTAAAAAATATGAATTCATTAAAAGTCTTTAATGGAGTTCCTTCCACGAAATGCACTTAACTCAGAAATTTTTGAAAGACCCCTCCCGGTGGTAATTGATATTCCGAGTAGCGCCAACTTATTCGGACCACCACCGAATCGAGTTGGAACGTGTCTTCAATGACCTTGTTTCCTATTCTGGTTCACCAGAATTTAATAGTATACAGTAGCATTTTTTATTTGAAATTCAAAACCGGAAAATAAAATCTGGGACATCGAACATTTTATGTCCTGGAAACGAAACGCATCGATGAAATACTCCCTGAGAGTACACAATAGAGTATTTCCTTTAAAAAATAGTGGAAATCCGCTGTGTTTTTTTAACACGTTTTTATTAAATTGCTTTCTTGTCTGTTTGTTTGTCCGGATCAAATTTTGCAACTCAAATTTTGCTCACTTCCTGACTAGCTAGCAAGCTGAAACTTTCAATTTTTTAATCTACTAAATTTTTTTGTGCTTTTCAGTCTTACTTGAAAAACGTGGTTTTTTAGATTAATTTTTAATCTACTATAATTATTTCAACTTGGACATTTTTAACGCATTCCTTCCATAGAAAGATCTGATTTTAGATTCTCAGGCAAATCATTCTTGAGGTTCTAAAAAACTTAGGAATCTAAATTTTAAACAACGAAGTACAAAACAGTTAAAATCCTAAAACTGTATATATAGTAGACAGTAATCTTGACAAATTTCCTTGGTTCCAATGCCTTCAAAGATCAAGTTTCTATCCAATGCTTTAAGAACATGTCACTGCATTTCAAACGACTTCATCACATGAAGGTTTCTCTCTTCACAGGAATTTTAGACGTTTATCTAAAAAAAAATAGTCAGGGATTAACACGAGCTGTGACGTAGCGGACGAAAGCTGGAAAAATCTTGAAGAATTCCAGCCAGGGGTCATAGTTTTTTTTTCTCCATCTTGTGAGGGGAAATATTCAGAGGAAAAGGAAGCTTTTCTCCAGCAGATGAACGAACGACGGTTATTACATCACAGGACATAGGGTAAAAGCCTGCCTGCGGGGGACACGAACAAGCAATCCAACGTAGACAGAAATATGCTAATTTGGGGCTAAATCCAAGGCATGATCCGGGCTTGCGAGCATCGACTGAATAACCCACGCCTTCCAGCTTGTGATTCATTTCATGACCAGCGCTTGAAATGTTCTCTTCTTTCTTTTTTCATTTTATAAATTTAAAATCAGACGGACGACATTAATCTTTTACTCATCACTCGGCCGAGAGAAAGGTGAGAAGCATGTTAATGAAGTGAGTTCATGTTTGAGAAGTTCCCAAGGGATGGGAAGAGTTGCAGTGTTATTTCAAGACTGAGGTTACCGGAACACAAATATTCCTCGTGGTTATCCTTTTGCATGAATATGGAAAAATCACGCATATAATTAACCAGCGTTCCTTCCCAATGTTCTGAAAAGCGCGAAATTTTCACGAAAAAAAAAACAATCAGGATGAAGTGGACTGAAATGTTTAAAATTTTCATGCACTTGTTTTTACATTTAAATTTTTAGCGCGTCTGAAATTTGACGAAATTGCAAATTCAGGGACATAATTCAAAATTTCTTCTGAATAAAACCGTACTTTGAATCAAATATATTTCAAGTACAGTACTGTACAGTGGAAATATTCACGACTAATTTTAGATCGAGGGCAGCATAAGAATCATGCAAAACCCTGATTTTTATTCAAGTCTTATTAAGGGACTAAACTGGTAACATGAATTTTATCTACGGGCTTCATTGATTTTAAAAATTATTCTGTAGGGTCAATAAAGGTTTCTCTTGATTTTTTAATTACGTTAATTCTGAGATTCATAAATCATTGGTGCGTATTAAAGATAAGTATGGCCTTATATATTCGAGGAAAGACGATATTCGGGGAAATTTTCAAATTTTGAAAAGTAAAACATAAAAAATATACGGTATACGTAACTGTATTAATTTCTCAAAACATTTTCAAATCAAACGCTCTGAAGATGTAATTTTTAAATTCAATGCTTTTGAGGAATTAAATAAACTTTGAATGTGATTAAATTTCGATAAAGGAAACCCTCAAAATTGTCGATGCACACATTACTGTATTATCTTCACGTGTGCTGCTCAAATATTGAAATTTGATTCAAAATCATCGGTTTATAATGTTGTCCTGTTCAGCATTATGCTCTACGACTTACAGAATACACCTTGACGGTAAATTTCGTTGAAAATAAATACAGAAATGAAAAAATATTCTAGAGTAATATTCTAATATTCTGCGGATGTGCTTGAAACAAAAAACATAATTGAATCTCTCTTCTGAATCATCTTTTGCATGTGGACATTTCGGTGTTATTATCTGATGGAGTATGAGGCGAATTAACATTGGTTAAATGGAATGTCGATCTTATAAATAATTTTGAAGCGAATAATTTGAATGAGTAGAGAAGAACAACGCAGTATATATTGAATGTTAATTGCATTCCACATTTGCGATCACAGAAGAATTAACATTGGTTAAATGGAATGTCGATCTTATAAATAATTTTGAAGCGAATAATTTGAATGAGTAGAGAAGAACAACGCAGTATATATTGAATGTTAATTGCATTCCACATTTGCGATCACAGAAGGAATATAATGAAAATATTGCTCTTCATACACACAAAGTCTTCTTTTTCCACTTTCTAAATGCATCAAGTTTTTCTCAAATAAATCGTGATGACAGGAAGCTCCTAACGAATTCAATTATATTTAGTCCAACATACCCTTTCGAGCACCGTTAGAAACCAATCTTCTGACCACTGAATTGTTGAATGATGAGCAAAGTTTTTCTCAAATAAATCGTGATGACAGGAAGCTCCTAACGAATTCAATTATATTTAGTCCAACATACCCTTTCGAGCACCGTTAGAAACCAATCTTCTGACCACTGAATTGTTGAATGATGAGCAGAAATCTCAAAATTATGAGAAAACCCTTTGGATCAACTCTAGTACTGTTGGAAATAAAAAAAATTGATAATCAACATTTCGAGAATTTTTCGATTAAGAATGTGATAGCTCATTTCTCTAGGGGATAAGTTGCTTGATGAAACACTAAATAGGAAAAAACCAATGTACAATATATTTCTAATTAATTTACATTGGATACAGTACATTTGACAATTTACATAGACGAACTTGGCTCGATTAATCTCATAGCCCAGAATACTGCTCAATTTAAAAAGTGCTCATTAAAAGCGAAGGAAGGATAATTATCGTGTTGATAATCTCGTTCGAGCCAACCCTACTTCTGCTCGCTTAATACAGCTGATTTCATCTCTCAATCGATACCATAAATTTCATTCTCACTTTTCAGAAGAAAGAAAAATGCAGCCAAGCGCACAAAAAAAGTTTTGAAAGTCCAATTTTCAAAACTCCTTTTTCAATAAACGAATCCAACAATTTAAAAATGCTACCATGTAAATTAAATAAGAAACAAATTTCGAGATACTGTACTCATGGAAAAAAATTATAGCTTGTATTGTACAAGAGCTGACTTCATGTGTCTTTGGCCACGATTTGGTCGGGAACGAAGCCCGGATTTGTTGCTCCGCCTTCATTCTTCAGTGAAGAATTCGTTGAAGAGGATGTGGATGACGATACTATGATAATATCGTCTTGTTCCTGAACAAAAAAGGACACATTCCCCTTATGCATAATGCGAACGATTTTCAAATGAAAGAATTGTTATGCCTCACTTCAGTTTCCGTGCGACTCGCTGGCTCTTCAGTCGAGTCACCTATCGGAAGGTTTTCCAGCAAGCTGTTATCTGATTGTTTTTTATCTGGAGAGATGTCGCTTGTTTCCTCCGCAACGTCGATTTCTCTTTCTTCCGACCGAGAACTTTCGCTCGATATCGACGAAGAATCACTGCTGAGAGTACCTTTGGTCAGTGTGCGAGCTTCAATAAGTGCATCTCCGTATTCTGATACTGTGAGTGCAGGTACGTCATTGGATTCATCCTTTATCTGAAAGTCGAAAGACACAGCGGTTCGAATAATTATAATTAAAAAAAAAANCACAGAAGGAATATAATGAAAATATTGCTCTTCATACACACAAAGTCTTCTTTTTCCACTTTCTAAATGCATCAAGTTTTTCTCAAATAAATCGTGATGACAGGAAGCTCCTAACGAATTCAATTATATTTAGTCCAACATACCCTTTCGAGCACCGTTAGAAACCAATCTTCTGACCACTGAATTGTTGAATGATGAGCACAAATCTCAAAATTATGAGAAAACCCTTTGGATCAACTCTAGTACTGTTGGAAATAAAAAAATTGATAATCAACATTTCGAGAATTTTTCGATTAAGAATGTGATAGCTCATTTCTCTATAGGGGATAAGTTGCTTGATGAAACACTAAATAGGAAAAACCAATGTACAATATATTTCTAATTAATTTACATTGGATACAGTACATTTGAAAATTTACATAGACAAATTTGGCTCGATTAATCTCATAGCCCAGAATACTGCTCAATTTAAAAAGTGCTCATTAAAAGCGAAGGAAGGATAATTTTTGTGTTGATAATCTCATTCGAGCCAACCCTACTTCTGCTCGCTTAATACAGCTGATTTCATCTCTCAATCGATACCATAAATTTCATTCTCACTTTTCAGAAGAAAGAAAAATGCAGCCAAGCGCACTTTTTTCAAAACTTTCAGGTTAAAAGTTTTGAGGAAAAAGTTATTTGCTTAGGTTGTTAAATTTTTACGATGGTACATTTAATTTATTCTTTGTTTAAAGCTCTATGACATGAGTACCTTTTTTTAAATAGCTTGTATTGTACAAGAGCTGACTTCATGTGTCTTTGGCCACGATTTGGTCGGGAACGAAGCCCGGATTTGTTGCTCCGCCTTCATTCTTCAGTGAAGAATTCGTTGAAGAGGATGTGGATGACGATACTATGATAATATCGTCTTGTTCCTGAACAAAAAAGGACACATTCCCCTTATGCATAATGCGAACGATTTTCAAATGAAAGAATTGTTATGCCTCACTTCAGTTTCCGTGCGACTCGCTGGCTCTTCAGTCGAGTCACCTATCGGAAGGTTTTCCAGCAAGCTGTTATCTGATTGTTTTTTATCTGGAGAGATGTCGCTTGTTTCCTCCGCAACGTCGATTTCTCTTTCTTCCGACCGAGAACTTTCGCTCGATATCGACGAAGAATCACTGCTGAGAGTACCTTTGGTCAGTGTGCGAGCTTCAATAAGTGCATCTCCGTATTCTGATACTGTGAGTGCAGGTACGTCATTGGATTCATCCTTTATCTGAAAGTCGAAAGACACAGCGGTTCGAATAATTATAATTAAAAAAAAAAACCGCGCGGCCCATAATTGCTCAAAGCGATCATTATGCGTCCATCAAAAAGCGGGAAGCTTGAAAAAAATTAGTGCACCTGAGTGAATTTTCCGTGGAATCCGTCGGGTTTCAAGTAAACTTCATGGGACACGTTTGTGCCGAAGATGATGCCCGAAACGTCGCTGTCTTTGGACGCCATCGTGTCCTTCGAACTGACTCCATGAAGCGATTTCTGATCCTGCGATCCGATTCCATCAAAATCAATAAAAGATTTATTTATTTAAAGTCAATAAGTATTGCGAATGCAAAAAATAGTAAACTAACGTAATCCGCTCCCAAATGCCAACCAACTGCGTCACGCCAACTCTGAGGCAAAAGCTTCATGAAGCTCACTGCTCCGGGGCTGATCAAATCTGGATTCATTTTTCGCATGTCTTCGAAACCCGTGAACCAGCTGACGAGCATGCCAATGACGATGACTGAAATGCACCCGATTGCCGAATACCACATGTATGAAATGCTGTACAATCCCAAAAGTGGCATTGACTCTCTGTATGAAAAAAAAAAAAAAATTGCGGATGATGTCTCAATAAACTAAGGGATCTCCGACGATCCAACTCCTTGATGGTTTTTATACGAACAATAAGAGCAAATGCAGGGCTGGACTGAACTTTGATTTTGCATGAATGTACGTAACTTTCAGCAGTAAAATGTGAAAATTTCTCAACGAGAATAAATCCGAAGTTTTTCTCACTGAATAAGTTGAAAATGGCTGGATCGAGGGCAGACAGTTCAATAAATTGTATCGAATCAGCGTGAGGAACTGGTTACTTTTCCGCTTTTCGTGAATTTACAGATGACCCAGTGTCTTAAAAAAAGCAAAATAATGTAATACTGCAAAATTCGCTTTGCCCATTTTCAAAGTCTGACGAAACTTACAAACGTTACATTAAAAATGTCGTGAACTCACAATTTCTCGTGCTAAAGACGCTACTTGTGTAGGTTGCCATAAAAATGTCAATCGGTGAGCAAGAATTTCGCCATAAGTCATGTATATGAAAATAAAGAACCACAAAAAATCAGCTATTAAAGCATCGATTTGCTTCAAATATTGTTGTTGACCCCAAAATGGCAAGGAAGATTCTGACTTGGAAACGTGGTTACCGGTACTCAAAAAAATAAATTCCCCGATTTTGAAATATTGTGTGAACCAGCAAACAGGAAATAGTGTAGCATAGATACTGTATTCTGAAATAAGTCCAAAATTTAAAAAAATATATTATTTTAAAAGGTTTATTTAAAAAATTTAATATTTACACTTTTTGACATTTTCTCTTTTGTACAATACCTCTTTCGAGATTTGTATGCCCTACACGATAATAAGAGTGACTAGAAAGCCGCTTTGACACTACTTAAGCAACCGTTTAGGCCGAAGACACCGTCACTGCTAGCTTCGGCTTTAAACCAGAAGAAGCCGCTCTTAGACTTCTTCGCAGCACAACTTGTCAAGCTGTAAACTGGGTTCCAGGGAATAAAGCTGAACGCAACCCTCGGTCGAAACGGGTTTCTTGGGTGTTCCGAGCAGCCCTGAAGATTTTGCTATTTGGGCCCCGGTTCCGATCCAGAACGTGATGATCAAACCACCAATGGAACCCGCGATGGCACCCTGCAAAAATTTTTTTGGAAACAATTCTTAAAATGAATTTTTCATCCTGGGATTTCAACGGTGCTAACCTTGCTGTTGGCCCATGGAAAAAACATTCCGAGCGTAAACATTCCAAGCAACGGCCCTCCGATCATCCCGAAAATGCTCAAAGCTGCCTGCAAAAAAAAAATTTTTAATACGAATGCGAGAAAAACTTTTTTGCACTAAATATTTAACAGAAAATTATTCGTATTTCACGCTATTTCCAAGGCTTTATTGCGTTGGATGAGAGACCGACGAAAGACATAAAATATGAGGAAAAAATACCGTATTTAGATTAAATTACACAGCATCTGAAGTGAATTTTACTTTCACTCATCAAGTAAATGTCCCCGCTTTCGAAAAAAAATCTAAAAAATATCGTTCAAAATATGTTCCAAATTCGGCCTCAGTAAATCAAAAATAAGTCGTCTATACTCTATACTCTATAAAAGCATCACATTGATTGAACCGGTCACTCTTATATAGGAGAAATATTTCAACAACCATTCGCAGGCGTTGCATGCAAACTGGCTATTTCTCTCTCTCTCTCATAAATCCCTGCAAAAATACACCGCAATTGAGTAAAACAGCCGTAACTCACCTGCAGAACGTTTCCGAGTTTTTCCGCGATGAAAACCAAAACGAAAGAAAGAATTCCGAAGATGAGAGAAAGAATTCTTGACATTTGCGTCGCTCTCGCGTCCGTCATATTCTTGAAGATAAATGGCTTCACAAAATCCTCCAACGTGATGGCAGCCAACGAGTTGAGTCCAGATGACACAGTGCTTAAATTATATTATTATTATTATTAAATAAAAATAATGGTTCGACATTGATTCATAACATATGTGTCGGGATCGCTCGATGATATTCCGTTGGACTCATGGAGACGGATTTCATTTCGTATAAGGAATCAAATTTATTCTTGTATTCAAACTACAGTACTTTTCATTTTTGTTCACTCAAGTTGAGAAAATCAAAGCGATGGGGTCTATCGGATGCACTGTATCGTTTAACAATTTTTTCGGCAGCCAAAAAGTGACTCGAAGTACTTTACTGTATTTAAATTTAAAGTCGAAGCTCTTTCGATCAAATTTTAAAAGTCTCCAAAAATTAAACTTCGAAATTTTCCTTAATTTTTGGTGGGCTGATCAATTAAATTCATTTTTTTGCCGAATTATTTGAAGTGTTAATTCTTCGTAGCTGTCCTCACATATACACGATTAAGCTCTTTCAAGCATCAAATTTAAAATAATTTGCATCTGTTTTAGGCATCGTAAAACAAATTTTATCAAATTTAGCTCCACTTCAATGAAAAAAAATTCATTAAAATGCTGATAATTAGGGGAGGTTTTACCCAAAAAGTTTCAAGCTAACGAGGTTCAAATTGTATTGGAATCGAGGGCATTGACTAGGGATCAAGTGAAAATTCGAATGCGGGTGGTTTTTCACTGAGGGAAGTTTGACTTAGTGAGGTCCTAATATATATAAATGCAAGAAATGTCATTTTGAAATTTCCTATATCTGTTCAAATGAATTTCCTTCAGTCTTATTTTTTTGTCTTAAGTGGTGATGCATGTGAAAGTTGAAAATTTTACTTTATAGGCGAAAAATTACCGCACAAAAATTAGAAATTTCAAAGATAGACCTACCGTATTTGTATTATGTGAATTTGGTCCTACAATTGCTTATTAAGACTTGGTGATTCTGGAACAGACATTTATTCACTCAAAGAACTTCATTTCAGATTTTACCGTCGAAACAACTTTTGAATCATTTCGCCCAATAGGCAAAATAAGCTCACCTGAGGGCGCCGCTGAAAATGCCGGCGACGAAAACGCCGGGGATGCCCGGGAAATTGCCCATCGTGTCCATGACGAAGAGCGGGAAGAGCTGGTCTGATGATGAAACTATTTTGGCCTTGAGTGGGTCACAGTCTTGGTACTTGGCGAAAATCACGAGCCCGGCGTATGAGCAGATTGATACGAGGCACAGCAACCCGACCAGGTTGACCCACAGGGCCCTGGCACATGATGATGAAAGCATTAAATAAATTATCCGATGCGAGTNAAAATCAGCTATTAAAGCATCGATTTGCTTCAAATATTGTTGTTGACCCCAAAATGGCAAGGAAGATTCTGACTTGGAAACGTGGTTACCGGTACTCAAAAAAATAAATTCCCCGATTTTGAAATATTGTGTGAACCAGCAAACAGGAAATAGTGTAGCATAGATACTGTATTCTGAAATAAGTCCAAAATTAAAAAAAATATATTATTTTAAAAGGTTTATTTAAAAAATTCAATATTTGCACTTTTTGATATTTTCTCTTTTGTGCAATACCTCTTTCGAGATTTGTATATGCACAACACGATAATAGCTCACTGATCTTTCGGCGAAACTGTGATGAATTCGTTGGCAAATCCGGCTTCTGTGGCAGTGACGATCGAAGCCGAAATTTGGTCTTCTTCGGCGAGAATCTGAAGAAGCGTCGTGTTGAACAGTTCTTGTAAACTGGGTTCCAGGGAATAAAGCTGAACGCAACCCTCGGTCGAAACGGGTTTCTTGGGCGTTCCGAGCAGCCCTGAAGATTTTGCTATTTGGGCCCCGGTTCCGATCCAGAACGTGATGATCAAACCACCAATGGAACCCGCGATGGCACCCTGCAAAAATTTTTTTGGAAACAATTCTCAAAATGAATTTTTCATCCTGAGATTTCAACGGTGCTAACCTTGCTGTTGGCCCATGGAAAAAACATTCCGAGCGTAAACATTCCAAGCAACGGCCCTCCGATCATCCCAAAAATGCTCAAGGCTGCCTGCAAAAAAAAAAAAAATTAAATACGAATGCGAGAAAAACTTTTTTGCACTAAATACTGTATTTAACAGAAAATTATTCGTATTTCACGCTATTTCCAAGTCTTTATTGCGTTGGATGAGAGACCGACGAAAGACATAAAATATGAGGAAATACCGTATTCAGATTAATTACGTACACAGCGTCTGAAGTGAATTTTACTTTTACTCATCAAGCAAATTTCCCGCTTTTGACAAAATCTAAAAAATATCGTTCAAAATATGTTCCAAAGTCGGCTTCAGTAAATCAAAAATAAGTCGTCGTTAGAAGCATCACATTGATTGAATCGGCGTGAGAATATATCCTCTTTATAAAGTTGTTGGTAAGCGTCCGCAACGTACGTTTGACCGATAAAGAGAGAGAGAGAGTATTTAGGGACGTTTTTATGTGGCGTTAACTCATTTTGTCGGCATTGAGTCCTGCAGAACGTTTCCGAGTTTTTCCGCGATGAAAACCAAAACGAAAGAAAGAATTCCGAAGATGAGAGAAAGAATTCTTCTGTAAACGCAGCGAGAGCGCAGGCAGTATAAGAACTTCTATTTACCGAAGTGTTTTAGGAGGTTGCACTACCGTCGGTTGCTCAACTCAGGTCTACTGTGTCACGAATTTAATATAATAATAATAATTTAAATAAAAATAATGGTTCGACATTGATTCATAACATATGTGTCGGAATCGTTCGATGATATTCCGTTGGACTCATGGAGACGGACGTCATTTTGTATAAGGAATCAAATTTATTCTTGTCTTCAAACTACAGTACTTTTAATTTTTGTTCACTCAAGTTGAGAAAAAAAAAGCGATGGGGTCTATCGGATGCACTGTATCGTTTAACAATTTTTTCGGCAGCCAAAAAGTGACTCGAAGTACTGTGCTGTATTTCAATTGAGGTCGAACATCTTTCAACCAAATTTTAAAGGACTCCCAAGAATAAAACTTCGGAAATTTTTGAGGAAGAGAATTTTTCTTAATTTTGGTAGGCTAATCAATTAAAATAATTTTCTTGCCAAATCATTCGAAGCGGTCATTCTTCGTAGATGTCCTCACAAATACACGATTAAGCCTTTTCAAGCATCAAATTTTAAATGATTTGCATCTGTTTTAGGCATCTTATAACAAATTTTATCAAATTTAGTTCCACTTCAATGACAAAATGCTGATAATTAGGGGAGATTTTATCCAGAAAGTTTCGAGTAAACGAGGTTCAATTTGTATTGGAATCAAGGGCATATTGACTAGGGATCAAGTGAAAATTCGAATCGCCCACCAAAAAGTGACTCCCTTCAAACTGAATCACTCCAGGATTATATATATTTACGTTCTTTACAGTAAAACTTTAAAGGATATAGACAAGTTTACTTAAAGGAAGTCAGAATAAAAAAACAGAAAAGTGGTGATGCATGTGAAAGTTGAAAATTTTACTTTATAGGCGAAAAATTACCGCACAAAAATTAGAAATTTCAAAGATAGACCTACCGTATTTGTATTATGTGAATTTGGTCCTACAATTGCTTATTAAGACTTGGTGATTCTGGAACAGACACTTATTCACTCAAAGAACTTCATTTCAGGATTTATCGTCGATATAACTTCTGAATCATTTCGCATAATAGGCGAAATAAGCTCACCTGAGGGCGCCGCTGAAAATGCCGGCGACGAAAACGCCGGGGATGCCCGGGAAATTGCCCATCGTGTCCATGACGAAGAGCGGGAAGAGCTGGTCTGATGTTGAAACTATTTTGGCCTTGAGTGGGTCACAGTCTTGGTACTTGGCGAAAATCACGAGCCCGGCGTATGAGCAGATTGATACGAGGCACAGCAACCCGACCAGGTTGACCCACAGGGCCCTGGCACATGATGATGAAAGCATTAAATAAATTATCCGATGCGAGTGCGGGTTCAAAATTCACTCTTGGATATGGAAATCTTTTTCATGCTCACCTAAAATTAAACCTGTCCAACATGGCAATTTTCTTGGCAAAATCGACAAGGACTTTATATAGTGAATGCTTTCATAATCTTGTTTACTAATAATAAGTGCAAATAATCCATGAGGTACGATTTGAATCTTATAATTCTGCACGTTTTTGCAATAGAAATCATCATGTTACCACCGCGAAATATCAAATTCTAAAACAACTTTTGATCAGATACTTTGTTAAGTTTCTTTTAACCTACTCATCTTCCTTAACTTAAGCTTTAAATATATTTTTTAGGGGGTTCCCTAATTCACTTTGAAAGCCTTCTTTATGTCATTACGTAAAAACAATCATTATGTGTACATAGTTTAATTCACATTTGTTGCAAGCACTTATTCGTCGATCATTAATTCTACAGAAAAACGGTATTGATTCATGAAATATACTTCAATCGGATTGATGAAAATTTTGTAAATCACAATGTCTTTCAGAGCGAAATAACTATTTACAAGTGTTGAACATTTTAGAGAAAAATTATTTCAAGTCACTCCAAGAAACTGCTTTCGAAAGTTTATTGCTCAGTTTCTTGTGCATATATTTGAAAACTTTTAGAGGTATTGAACAAAGTTGTGAACATTTTCATTTGCATTCTTGCTTTTCATCAATATTTCGTAATTCAGACTTCCCGGCCCTCCACTCGAACGAGATCTAAATATGCTGATTATGTTAGCAAAAAAAGGCGAACATATATAAGGAAACAAGTTAGGTATGCATGGGACTTCACTCACTTCCGAGTGTGTGCCATGGAAGGTACTGACAAGTACCGCTGAACTTGGGCCTGATTGACTCCATAAATGGCGATCCACGTGAAATATCCTCCGATAACGAGTGACCACCACGTATGTCTAACTGTCGGGTTCATGCTAAAGCTGTTTAGAAAGATAAAAAAAAACCCAACAGCTGAAAACATATACAATAATTAAATTCTTCGAGTTTTTTCGCAATTGAAAAATCAGACATAAACCCAAAGAAATTTCTATCGCAGCCCTTGATTCGGAATTTCAATGAGACAATCACTCAATTCCCACTTGAGAAAAGTTTGCCTTATTTATTTTTAAATTGAGATCGCAAATCTCCATATTAACGAAGATACTTTATAGTACAGTAATACAATTTTGGTAGTACAGTACTGTGCAGCAGTTGAATGAAAACGCGAGAACAGTAACAGCCTTTTGAAGTCGGAAATTTTACGCTCTATCGATTCAAAGAAATAATTTGGGATCATTTTGAGCATCAAAATTTGTAAACTAAATTGTGTCTTTCTTTTTGCGTGAATTCGAGTCGATTAAAAGCTTTAAATTGCATAACAAGGTGTTTAGAACCCACATAATATCTATCCTCACGTAAAAAATGAACAATGGTCAAGAAGGTTATACTTCCGTAATCTTCCTCACAATTTCCAAGACAACAAATAAAATACTGCAGAGTTATACCATTGACTAGCTTTTAATATCAATTCTTTTCAATTTTTTATTTTGAAAGATTATATATAACGTCGCTGAAAAGCGTAAAAATTGATTCACACCCCAAAGTTTTCTCTATTCTTTACTATTGAACGCATCCAAGATACGTTTCCGGTTCTATATAGGGGCTTCCGGTTTCCAAGAAAAAAATGAGACAGGAATTATCTAATCACCCTCACTAAATAGAGACCTTAGAGAGAGCGACATTTCCGTTTTTATGTTATTTGACCTCGCCGGAAGGCATGCTTATATTGCTGCGCTTTCACAAATTGTGAAAACAAGGAGAGCATTGAAAGGAAAACAGTAGTAAAAGACAGAGAAAGAAAAAGAGAGAGAAATAAAGAAGGAGGGGTGGGGGAGAGAATAATGATAGAGAGAGAGTGAATGAGTGAGTGTGGGAATGAAATAATGACGATATATGCATTCGATGTTGGGAAGAAAAAGGTGTGCAGATGCTGTTGGCAACACGTTGTACAATATATGTTTATACTTTATACACATGTGCAATATATAGAAAATAAAATAGTATATTCTATAATATATTGTATACACATAATGTACACTGTATATATGTATATATGTATGGTTTAATTTATTCACTTGATTCGCTTCCCACATACAGTATATATTAATATATTCATATTACTCGTTGAAATAAGTTTAAATATACAGTATATATGATTTAATTCACTGGCTTGATTTGCCTTCAATATGTATATATATGTATATATATATATATATATATATATATATATATATATATATATATATATATATTACTCGTTGAACTCGATCCTCTGCGTCCTTTGATTCGCTTCCCACACAGCTCCGAATCCCCCGATGTCGAAGACGCCCTTGAGCACCACGGCCACAAGTGCAGCGTACATGATGAGCACTTGCACTGTATCAGTCCACATCACTGCTTTCATTCCGCCCTTTTAAAATAATACAGTACAGTACATAGATAAATGAATAATTAAGCAAATGAAACATGAAGCACAAACCATTCAACCCGAAATCACAATTTCTGAAGAAAAAAAAAATTAGAACCTAGCTACTGTTGGTCGAGGTTTAATATAGCAGATCATCTGATCGCAGAGCTTGAAAAATGCAGGAACTAATTATCTTCATGGCCACCAACAAATTTTCCAAATCCAAAACTAGAAAAAAATTTCAGATCTGAATTTTTCATAATACAAAGTCCTGCACACCGGAAATTCACCAAGTGGAAGAATATTTATACCTATTTTTATAAAATTTAATTTCCCGGCTGTCAGAATTAAAGTCACTCATTTTAAACGTAATCGTAAAGACGGACAGGTATTAAAATTATACCCAAAAACTTATTCGCATGACAATTTCTTCAAACACTTGGGGAAATTTGAACATATAAACGAGATAACTGGCATATATTTAGAAACCAAACTACTTGTACAGGAACCTCATTATTAATGGTAATACTGGATATCAATCAACTTTTTATGAAATAAAACAGCTTTTCGAATGATCGCCGTGGTCACAGAAATTAAAAAAGAAAACCGCTGAATAAAATGCGAAATAAATGTGGATTAGACTAAATTTCATGTCCCGTAGTTTTCATTTTTTTATGGAGGTAGCTAAACTCGTTTCGTTCATGAGATATGGCCAAATCAAAACCACTGTACTTCTTTGTCAGTCGGTACATTAAACACGGTAACCTATAAACTGATGTTGGTTAAGATAATGCGAAGCTCGGAGTCCTTCAGCGAATGTACTGCTGTTTCCATTCGGAATTCAAAAGCCAAGAAAAATGAGGGCACAGAAAAATACTGTACTACAGTACCTTGGTACACAATTTTCAAACTCATCAATGTGAACATAAAACCCATCTCTTCTCTGATCCCAGATCCATTTAAACTTCGACTGAAAGCATGAAATATTGCCATGAACATCTACGCGGACTATAAAATTCTGCATTACAAAACTCTACGAAGTACGATGATTTCCGCATCGAATTTTGATTTCAAGAAAAATTCAACTCACGGCGACGCAGTAGAAGATGCAGACGATGAAAATCAAGGTCACCGAAAGGTACACATTCATTCCGGTCACTGGGAACAGGAAGCAAGCACACTTGAATGAAAATTGGTCACTGATTTTGACACGTACATTCCACACGCAAATATATGCTTTAATCATGTCCCATTATTCCGGAAATATTGACTGGTAACTTTTTGTAGTTCTTTTCGCCTCTTCAAAGTCTTCACAAGTTTCAACCAAAAATTCGGTAAAAATTAAAACATATACGAGAAAAAATAATAAAAAATTCTGAATAGGTTAAGATTATTTTCCATTTTATTATGCACCGTAAATGGATTTCGTCTCCATGAATTATTGAGGATGGGAACATTGACTTATTGAGGCATAAATAAAAAACCAGATGATTGCTGATGCAACTCATCGATCCATTAATTTTAGAAAATGTTCATTCGAAAATTCATGAAAATTATGGAAAATTCTTTCGGATTGGGGTCACCTCACGACCGGACGTGCAGTAATTAAAATTAGAGAATAGGGTCCGATTTCCGGTTTGAAATAACGGTCGCACAACGATTCCAATTGTTTCTCACCTTGGCTGAGGGCAAGCGCGGGTGCGTACACGACGATGGCCATGTAAATTGTCTGTTGGAATTTTCCCGTCATTTAAAAAAAAAAGAAAAATACAACGAAACCATTAGCAATTCATCACCATTTCCATTTTTGAGCAAATTTAAGGCTGCGTGCGATTATATTGCGCAAACTGGACACTTTTTAATATAAGGGAAAAATCGCTGAAGAAACCAATTGGCCAATCTCATGTTTTTTCGGAAATATTTCACGAAGATTCTTGTGAAATATTCCAGAAATATTTGTGTCTTGTGGCCTTGAGAAAGCATTCGTTAAAACTGCTGATTTGAATGCGATGCAATAATTTGATTATTCGCCTGGAATATCGCGAATTCAGATTCATTTCTATGTAAATGTTTTTGTCTTTGTCATTTCCCCTGAATTCAAATGATTGCGTGAATGTGATACGAAGGACTTCGACTTATTTTAAAATATTCATAGTAACACGGATTTCACTGCATTTTTTGGAAAACAGCATGGCTGACTGGCCTGTGATCTCGTAAATAAGATTATTTCTCGTTGTTTTTTTTGCTCAATAACATACCATCTGAATGCTGAAAATCGCAGATCCCAGGCATCGCAGAAATCTGTTGAAGCGTCTGTCGAGGTACTGGAAACAAGTAAAATGAACAATTTCATGCCATCAACGCGAGTCTAAAATGAAAGACGAACTACAATCCAATCTTTAATTAATCCCACGTGAATATAAAATATAAAATGAATAACTCGACTTTGAAAAAAATACGACCAGGAACTAGTTTCGAGGGGAGGAAAAAACTCGAGAAGTTATCCTTCATCCGAATTTATCTGCTTCCTCAAAATGAGCAAATTCCACGCGAGGATCAACGGATGTAAAATAAATCTCTTTTATTTTCAAACTTACTTCGTAGGCAGACATTGCGTTCATTTTGTAGAATACAGGGAAGTACCAGTACATTGCAGATACAGTCATCAAAATGTAGGAGATTCCGATGATCCAGTACATCGTGCCAAATTGGTACGTTTCCGCCGGGGTTCCGAGCAAAGCAATCGCTGACATAAAGCTTGAAAAAAATGCCATGAAGAAAAAAGGAAAAAATTGAAGCTAGAATAGAAAATAATTTAGCTGCGTCACGATCCGACAAGTTCAGTCTTGAAAAAACAATTTTGTTTTCATCTTTCACAAATTATTCGATATTTAGACTTTTTGTGTACATTTCTAAACATCTTTACATATGAGAATCCGTGCTGAGTTATTCTACAACTTCTCGATGTGCTTGACTGTGTCGAAAACTTTCTTTTTATCCTTAATTTTGTTTTACTTTTAATTTTGGATTACAAACTTTTCAAATATAAAATGCAGTGAAATACTGTATGTGCTGTACAGATACAGTGTACTTGAATTTGACCACAATATATGAGCGCATTTTCGTCTTTCAAAGCTCATTTAAACAATTTAAAAGCAGATTCTAGAATATTTTCGATCAAGAAGGAACCAATTGTTTATTTGGATCTTTTTCTCCAGACCTTGAAAATTTCCACAGTTAAAAAATCCTTCATACTTCGACCCGGATGTTTATGATTAAAAACGCCACCTAAAATATTTCCAAATCTTTGAAAACTTTCAATATCATGCAACATTTCAAATCGTTTTCGCTTTCCCGAGAGATTTTGAGTTTGGTTTATGCAAACATTTTTGCTCATCGCTTCATTCGTTTTGTGGAAATATATTTTGTTAAATAAAAAAAAAAAAACTCGTGTACAATTCATCTCCTGCTTCACAGAACTGTTAAATTTTCAATGAACTGTTTGGACCTCGAAAAACATTTACTACATCGAGTCCAACTGAATAATGTTTTTTTTAATGGTTGAAGAAAACCAACCTTGCTATAAGAGACATGGCCATAGGGAACACTCCCATACTTCGTCCCCCCATGAGAAAATCTGCAGTCGTCTTTTGCTTTTTGCGGAAGCCAAAGTAGAGGCCAATGACAGCAGAAACCGCGAGCAAAAACGCAAACACGCAATAATCGACGACGGAAAATCGCGTTTGCAACGACGCCAGGATTTCCTGACGATTTCCACCTTCGCCACTCATCTTTTTTCACACTCGTTCGTCGTTGTAAAATAACTGAATCAAGTGTTATCACTTCAATTGTAGCTTTATTTAGTTTCTGTCACTGACCTGCAAAATCAAGTTTTTTCACCGTCACAAGACTCGGAGACATGCCAATGAAAATCACGGCTACTGTGGTTATTTACTATAAACGCTTCGAAATCGGTTCAAATACCCGTGAATATAACTCAAAATGTTTTTTCTGTGTTTTTTGAAGCGAAAGAAAAAATATTGTCTTTTTCACTTCAAGAAAAATGTCGCTTCACCGATTATAGAAGCATATTTGGATTTAAGAACCAAGATTATCGATTCATAAAATGAGGAGCGAATTCGTCTTGATTCAGATTCTAAAAATGAATGCACCCTTTTTTTAGAATTGTATGCAGCACTGACTGAAATATGCATAAGCAATGCGTGACTTTAAACGAAACATGAACGGCGTTTATGGCGAGTACAGAAAATAAAACATCTTTTTTTTTTTCATGACAAATAAATCCTATACAGAACGTGATGCGACAAGAGTCTCCACGTTTTTCGTCTTGCACTGGTTCACGTCCATTGTCTCTCACGTCACACTGAAACTCGTCTCTGTCTCAGGGGATATGGAGTATATTCTTTTATTATTATTTCTTTTAAATCTGGAATCCCTGTCGAATGATTATAAATGATGATCAGGAAGTGTGGTCGCGCATCGTCGCATTCGTCCCCTGACATTCCAATTCCGGCTGTCGCTCGCATTTCCTGTCATCCTTTGCTTGTGTTTATTTCGGAAATTTTCAAAAATAGTGAAAATGAATTCCACGTGGAAAATGTGAACTTTGAAAAAAAATCTAAATAAAAAACGACGTGACGGAGACATTTTCCGAGGGTTCACGACGAAGTCTTCGTTTTTCAGGTTTTCTGAATGTCGCTACGAATAACTCCACAACGCAAATTATGCTCATTTTGAAGTGGTATTATAAACATTTGTAAAAACTTTCTTATAGGCATATGGCGGAGGAAAAACAAAGAACTCTGAATTAATACCAGACTAGTCTACGAAAGCAACTGCGGGAAAATACCCCTGAATTATAAAAACAAGATTGGGGCAAAACAATATCGACATATTTTCTTTACAGACAAAGTTTGAATAAATGTGCTAAAAGAGGAACATTTTGAAATTTCTCGGCTGTGCTGCTTGCTGTTATACTGCGTCTATATACACGATGTTCTCAGTTAATCTAAGGATAATCACCGATGACATCACAATTTATTTTAAATCTTTCGTGCGCGGAACCGGGACAAGAAACCTGAACTAGATCATATTTGGTATTGTATAACCTTTATTTCCTAAACCATGCTAGAAATGACATTTCCTAATTTTTTTCAATTCAACAACACTGAAGTATCTTTCTGAACGATCACTTGGCTGCCTTTCAGAAGCCCCGCAAAACTAGGACAACCTTCATCCTGGTAAAATATGCCCGTATAATAATACATCTGCTCTGACAGTTTTTTCTCAATGCTAATTTTTTAGATGCCCATGACGATCAAACAAATCCAACTAAAATTCAAAAGAGAATTGCTTAGGCGCGTTTTTTTTCGAATAGAAAAGGTTCAAACTAGAAAAAAACAACAATAAACTAGTACACTTTTGTTGGACACAATGTACGTGGGATTTTGAATGGATTTGACGTGGTTTGAGGTCATCAAATCCCCCGTTTAAAATACAATTCCGAGAAATGGTCTCAAGTCGTATTGTCACAAGAAACACAAAAACCACTGCATTTTAAAAAGTTTCACTGACAAATGAAAAAGATAAATCATGGTGAACTGTTCCAAAAAAAAAAAAAAAAAAAAAAAAACACTTACTTTGCGCAGTCGGATGTTGCCGACTTGGTCAGTTTCCAAAATGTTCAAGCGCCGCACGGAACTAGAGGCGCTGATGATGGAAATCCTAAAAAAAAAAAAAAAAAAAAAAAAAAAAAAAAAAACGTTCATCGTCATCCGAACGAGTTGCATGGCGTTGATGGCTGAGTGGATACTGCAGTCGTTTCCCTCGTCCGTTTCCCTCTTCCTTTTCCTCCCGTCGTGTTTCGACTGAATAATCTTTATACCGTACACGATAAATACAGCACATCGTCCAGCATTGCAGTCAAGTGCCCCAACGGCCTCGAAAAGGTCACCACTCGGAACCCGGCAAGAAAATGAGCACGCTTGCTTCATCTCTTCTCTCTTCTTCCCTCATTCCAACGTCAAAGTGTGAATACAGTACAATAACACGCTTCCTTCACAAAGCAGTTTGGGGCATATTGTAAAGCCTAGGTGCGCTGAAGAGTTTTGGCTACAACTCTGCAGCTTTTCTTATATTCTAAAAATCTTACTGTATCTACTTGAATATCACACATCCTCAGGTAAGACATGCAACTTGATTTTAAAGAGGAAAATTTGGGTAAAAATGTATCCGACATAACAGGTGTGCACACCAGTGTTTGGTGATCAGTCAATTCAATATTAAAATCCTGTTTTTTGTACTAAATAAATCAAAATAAACTTCACTAAAATAATTTACCAAATATATTTGCAGCAGTCAAACAGCAATAATAAGATATAAGAATTTAAGCAAGTTGGCTAAGTACTCACAAGTCTTTCTGAGAAGTAACCACAATCAAAACAGGATTAACTCTGAGAAATATACCTGCCCGCAGGTAATACAGGTGATGTCCCACAATTCAACCCTAATCAATTGCTGGACTAGGGTCAAATTGCAAAGTGGTCAAATTTTGAAGCAATGTCAAATGCTTATATGCGATAATTCAATATTAAAATCCTGTTTTTTGCACTAATGAAATCAAAATAAACTTCACTAAAATAATTTACCAAATATATTTTCAGTCAAACAACAATAATAAGATATAAAAATTTAAGAAAGTTGGCTAAGTACTCACAAGTCTTTCTGAGAAGTAACCACAATCAAAACAGGATTAACTCTGAGAAATATACCTGCCCTCAGGTAATTACAGGCAATGACCCACAATTCAACCCTAGTCCATTCATGGACTAGGGTCAAATTGCAAAGTGGTCAAATTTTGAAGCAATGTCAAATGCTTATATATGCAATTAGATAATGTGTAAGACTTACATCCCATTTTTCAACATAGATTTTCAGAAAAAAGGGGGAAGATTGTCCTCAAGTACATGTAAGACATCTCATAAGGAGTAGCTAAAAATATTAGGCTAAGCACTTTGTCAGGTAAAAGCAAATAAATCAGGCTGCATCTAAAAATGTATTTTTAAAATTTTCATGCACTTCAAGAAACATGAGACTTGGATGAACTTTTCCTCCATTCTTGCCAGTTTGATTGAATGCCTACAAAGGGCAGGTTGGGGGTTCACTGTATTTGGAATTAACTGCATAAGATTCCTTTCGAGTCTGCCTCCTTAAAGCAATCATTCAGAAGCATTAGATCCCAACATTTGAGAAGAAACCGGTCCTTCCCACGACCGGTTCCTTTAGTTTCCCTCTTCCTTTTCCTCCCGTCGTGTTTCGACTGAATAATCTTTATACCGTACACGATAAATACAGCACATCGTCCAGCATTGCAGTCAAGTGCCCCAACGGCCTCGAAAAGGTCACCACTCGTCGGAACCCGGCAAGAAAATGAGCACGCTTGCTTCATCTCTTCTCTCTTCTTCCCTCATTCCAACCTCAAAGTGTGAATACAGTACAACATGCTTCCTTCACAAAGCAGTTTGGGGCATTTTGTAAAGCCTAGGTGCGCTGAAGAGTTTTGGCTAAAACTCTGAAGCTTTTATTGCATTTTAAAAATCTTTCTGTATTTACTTGAATATCACACGTCCTCAGGTAAGACATGCAACTTGATTTCACAGAGGAACATTTGGGTAAAAATGTATCCCACATAACAGGTGTGCACACCAGTGTGTTTGGTGATCAGTCAATTCAATATTAATATCCTGTTTTCTGCACTAACTAAATCAAAGTAAACTTCATTAAAATAAAATACCAAATATATCTGCAGTCAAATGTAAGTCAAACAACAATAATAAGTTATAAAACTTCAAGAAAGTTGGCTAAACATGCACAAGTATTTCTGAGAAGTAACCGCAATCAAAACAGGATTAACTCTGAGAAATATACCTGCCCTCAGGTAATACAGGTGATCTCCCACAATTCAACCCTAGTCCATTGATGGACTAGGGTCAAATTGCAAAGTGGTCAAATTTTGAAGCAATGTCAAATGCTTATGTGCAATAAAATAATGTGTAAGACTTGCATCCCATTTTTCAGCATAGATTTTCAGAAAAAAGGTGCACATTGTCCTTACATGTAAGAAATTTTATAAGGAGTAGCTAAAAATATTAGGCTAAGCACTTTGCCTGGTAAAAGCAAATAAATCAGGCTGCATCTAAAAATGTATTTAGCAAGTTTTCATGCTCTTCAAGAAACATGAGACTTGGATGAACTTTTCCTCAATTCTTGCCAGTTTGATTGAATGCCTACAAAGGACAGGTTGCGGGTTCACTGTATTTGGAATTAACTGCATAAGATTCCTTTCGAGTCTGCCTCCTTAAAGCAATCATTCAGAAGCATTAGATCCCAACATTTGAGAAGAAACCGGTCCTTCCCACGACCGGTTCCTTTCCCCTTCTTTTATTCAATCCTCGAAGTTCAATAACTTTATGAGAGGACAAGAATAAGTATCCGTGAGAGTCATAGGATACAAGTCAGTTTCCAGGAGCACTGAATGGAAAATATAAATGATTGCAAATGGAAACGTGGTTTGACTGATTGGAAAAAAAAAAATCTTAAGTTACCCTTGATGTTACTCGTCGTTTTGTGGTGATTATTGGGTGATTCTACATAAATATTCCTTGTGTAATATTTAGGTATTAAAAATCGATATACAAGCAATTATTTTAGTTGCATCGTAGATTCGCAGTTGGAATAAAGCGAGTGGTTGATAGGTTGCTTTAGTATTAAGTTTTTTTTTACCAGATGTCAAATTCTGAATATTTGTGGCAATTTTCTACAGTACAGTTTTCTTATATCAAGGGAATCTGAACGTGGAGAATAGTTAAGTAAAATTGGATGAAAGCTCTCAATTGATTGAAAGCTTTTGAACAGGTGGATTTTTCAAACGGGTTTTCTCCCTTGAGGCTTTAGCCCGACGGTTTCACTCTTGTCAATATCTTCGTAAGTAAAAATTTGAAAGGCCATTACATTGCATTAATTGAGAAAAAAATCTTAGAACTTCGTGCGATTCTCTGTTATTAATATTCAAATGTTGGTATTCGAACACCGAGCATGATACTGAACGAGAGGTTTTAAACCCCGTGCCGATATGAATAAAAATGGGTTAAGCTTCTGAAATGGTTAACATTATTTTCTGTTGGAATTTTTTTTACTGAAACTCAATTCGCTTTTTTCTTTCACTCGATCAGTGATCACTTTGATGTACTTCGTGATCCCATTAAACGTTCCTTGATCGATCCTCAGCTACAGTAGTTTCCTATTCTTTGATCTTTGATTTCTTTATTATTTCCTGGAGCAAACGCGGAACCCGTCTGGTACTGGTTGACAACCAGTGCAATAAAATACCATTTTCATTCGACACTCGCATATTTATTGTTTTATCCCGAAGATTTCAACGCTTCATTTCTCCACGATCTTTACTTTTAAAAAAATCCCTCACAGCGAGAATCTTAAAACTCATATCCTCGAAGGTCCGGGTCGGTTCATGTTGACCATCATCGCGGCGTTTGGAGTCAGTGTTGCCACATTCTTTCTGGAGTCCACCCAGGAACAAATTCCGTTGACGATTTGATTAAATGCCGGCGGGTCTTCGGCATATGAATCGTGTCCCACACCCGGGATCAAGTGAAGATCAGCAGTTCCTCGTAGCCTGCAATTCTGGAACTGTTCCGCAGGGCTGGGATCTAGCCAGGAATCTTCGCCATAGATGAATGAAACGAAAAAGTCCAGAGGCAGGGTTTTCAGCTTGAGAAGGGCCGGGTTTCGGGCCCAGAGGATTTTCTTGCTCAGGTGCATGATGGCGTCTTCCGTCGACTTGTTGTCGACTGCGTTGCATTGGTAAACGTAGTCTGCCGCGGCCCAGGAATCACCCCCTAGAAATCTGTAAAATCTGGTGGGGAAAAGATATTTATTTGGGTGCGGATGGGTCCAGAACTAGGGAAATTTCGTTTTCCGATTTCAGATCTAGCAATTAAATTCCGAACAGCCACGTGAAAGAAAATTGAACATTCCAAGCGCGTGTCTGCCTTCCGAAAGCAGAGTTCAAAAGAAAATAAACCATCCACCTGTTTGAAAAAATTCAATCAATTTGATAATTTCCAACAAAATTTTCGCGTACATTCTTCAGACAAGAACCTCACTTCCCTCGATGCAAGCGAACTGACACCTCACACAAGTGTAGTTTTTAGCACTTCATCATCAATATCAAGAAAATATTACTTGAAAAAAAAAATCAAATCTGGGAATCATTGAATCAAGTTGGGGATCTTACAGAGACCATGTGATGAACAGAGATCACCTATATAGCAGGAAATTGGCAAGATCTTCAACACGGAAATCACGGATAATTAGAAAGATTTCTTTATTACATTAGTCCAATCACTGATGCTTAGCAATATTTTCGCATAATTGATAGCTGCAAAATATGCCGGGGAAGAAACTATTTAAAAAATGTAGAAGACTGAAAATTATAGTTCAATATATGATGATCAACTATTTTGAAATGATGTGTTTGTCCTACTTTTGCTTGAAATACTGACTCAGAAAGCGAATAATTAATGAGTCTGATCGGTTGAGAAATTTGGTTTACAATCATGGTTTTTTTGTCATAAAAATCGTTATACCGAGTATGAATTGAAACGTTCAGAATAAAATTCGAAAATAGCGATATATACCGTGCAGTAATCGAGATGTATTTGCGATCCAGAAGCTAAATTAGATTTTTTTATCCGGTGCTTAGTTGAAGAATTGATGTTGAATTTCGTCATGAAAAACCGTCAAAAAATATAAGAGAATTATAAACTATAGACTTTCAGCTCATTATTTTTTTTTATAAAAAAAAGCATTGCCCCATCGGATCAAAAGGATGTCATCGCATCATGTACAGTACAGTTATTTTTAAATACTGAATTTGATAAAAACGTAGAGTGACAGAAACCTTTTGCAAATGTAGTGCGAGAACCCGCGGACAGCCAGAGGTCCAAGTGGGCCACACGCCCTGAGGAAACCGCCAGCGTGGGCCCATTCCCAGTCGTAATGGTTCTTGATCCACGTCGGAATGGGCTTGTTCCAGTTGATGCCCTCAGGGTGGGCCTCGAGTCCCCAAGGGTCGGCCAAGATCAAGTGTTCCACGCGTTCCGGAAAGGACGCTGCATACGAAGCCGCGATAAAGCCTCCAAATCCGTGTCCCAACAGAATGAAGGAATCCAGGTGCATGGCTTGTCGCCACTGGTCCAGCATCCCCATAAACACTTGCTCGATCTGAGAAAAAAAATAAAAATACAGTACAGTGAGACCCGAGGATGCGGACGTAATTGGTGCATCAAGAGTGTCCCTAAGTTGAAATGTCCATACATGTCAAGACTCATTTTCCCTTAGACTCACATACATAATTTTTATGGGTGTTTTACGGACAAAATACTCACAATAATTCCTCGATATGAGCTGCGAATCGACAACACCATTCCGAATACGACACGTACTTCATTGAGGAAATTCCTTTAGTTTAGTCGATTTCACGACTTGGGCATCATTTCAAGAAGTTTTGAAAATCATCGTGATCATAAATAAATTAATTAAGGTGAGCTTCTATGAAGAACATTGAACTAATTGTCCTGTCGACAGCGCGTGAGATTCCTTTGATTTATTGCACGTATCAAATCTTTTTATAACTCAGGGGGAGCGACACCTTGAGAGCGTCGTTTGGAAACTCGGGACGCGAGCTCCGACCAAAGCCCGGAAGATCGAGCGCGTACACAGTCCTTCCGATCGCCACATTTTCTAGATTCATGCAGAAGAAAGCTGAACCGACGCCAAACCCGTGAAGCATCACCAACGGAGTGGATTTCGGTAAACCCGGTAAACGTTCATACGGCAGTGTTATGGTCCAGATTTTATGCAATTTGAACTGAAAAAAATAAACACGATTTAATGAGCAGACGAACTTTACAGTCGAGGAGCTGCAACTTCCACATTCACACTATATTACGGCGGTATCAACACGATATTTGCCCGAAAATAATACCCCGCATATTTATATCGCTAAACTAGATAAAAGACGAATTGCTTTTATCATGGCATCTTAAATTGCATGGTAAAATGCTCGTTTCGCATACTTAAAAATTATTCATGTACACATGTATTTCAATAACTTGATAAAAAATCATACAGCCAATAAAAGAACCAATTTTGAGGTATACTCCCTATTATATTAATAAATGCTAACATTATTGGTCTGAAATATAGGTTTGTTGACAAAGTTTTTTGAGCCCAAGCCGATGATATGAGCCTTCTACTACTTTTGTTTCTTTTGATGACTAGATTATTAATTATCTAATGTAGATTAGCTGCTCAGTAATACATTAACTATAGCTATTACAGATTAAATTGTTCTTCTTTTTGATTCAAACAGAAACGAAACACTTCTTTGGGTTTCCGTAGTACATATATATCCACTGACGTTAAAATAAACTAAAGAAGAAAATCCTTTAACAGTAGCGACTTTAAACTTTTAATACAGACGCAGCGGGTTCATGACATAAAGCTTTTGCCAAAAGCTATAACTCGCAGCTTGTCAATTGTTTCCGCAATTTCAAGTTGAGTGCAGCGGTGCTTTCAAATCTGATTTTTCACGGAGAAAATCAATGATTTTCTTTTTCAGCATTTCAGATTTTAATTCTGAGTACGGTAGTAGAGAATATGCTCCATCATACGTCAATTAAATATCAATTAAGAAGTACTATTAAATTATGTATTTAATATGTGAAGCAAGCAACCGCGAGTCTCATATTTGCCTGCAAAATTTGGTCCATTTTTAGAGCTTCAAAATCAAGTTTCATTTCATGATCACCAATGTCGGGTGATTACTTTAAACATCTCTAAATCGAAGCAATAGAAGAAAAAAATCGTTTAAGTTTACATCAAGCAAGAGTTCCCTGGTGAAAGGATCTGGACGTCGAGAAGACGTGTGAATCGGGATGTGTTGGGCAGTGTGTTGCCGGCTCATTCTAGACATGATCAATCGTTCA